GATGTAATGATTAAATTCTTTTATATAATAACTGTATTGTTCAGCAATCTTTTTCCCAGTTGCGGCATACCTTCGAGTGAATTCACCTCGTTCCGCATGCCTAAATCCTTTGAGACTAGAAAGAGCATCTAATATACCTCGAATTACAGCATTTCCACCATGTATGTGAAATTCAATAACGTCTTCCCCTGTATAACTATTTGGACCTCAATAAAATATTTCTGATTAAAAATAATATCTTTTTATATCATCTTTGTTTCTTTTCAGTCGATTGCGAAACACACCTGGAAACCATAAAACGAGGCCGTAATCTAATACTTCACGCGTTATTGGGTGCAATATCGAGCGTAGTGTCGCTACGCGTGGCTTTGGGAATTTCGCATTCTTTAATGATAGCTGATTGATAGCCTATATGATAAATAATATAATAGAATAAAAAATAAAAAACGGCACGGAACATACATGGAAAACTGTAAGGTAGAGTGAGCTTACTTCGGAAGCTTTTGGCCCTGAGACTCGTATAACTGCAACACCTGCTTTTCCTTGTGCAGAGGACAACGAGAAAATTGTGTTCGAGGCTTGCGAAGGCTGCAACGTTGATATTTTTCTGCTAGCAAAAGAAAAAAGGCTGGAGATCTGGAAATTTCGAAAAGAATATCTAGAAATCATTTTTAGGTATGGTAAAAACGAAAACTTCCAACTTTAACTTTCGAGTCACATGGTTTGCGAAAAATGAGTGGATAATTTCGACCAGAAATTAAATGATGTTTTACCAGAATTACAACCTTTTTACAATCGTGTTTACTAATAGTGCCATTGTGTAACATATTTTCGAGATTTTCAAGTATTTTTGCAATTTCATATAATTTGACTAAATTTTCTAAATTTTGAGTATTCAAGCTTTTTGTAAAACTACAAATAATACAAATAATTGTCTAAATCCAAGTATTCAAGCTTTTTGTAAATTTACAATGTCCACACAACATCAAGCGCTAGTTGATACAAGAGCTGGTGGCGTTTACATTCCACCTGCTCGGCTAAGGCAAATGCAAAAAGAAATTACTGATCCTAATAGTGAGCAGTATCAACGAATAACTTGGGAAGCCCTCAAAAAAAGTATAAACGGCCTCATAAATAAGGTATTTGTCTATGGATTTTATTCTTGTTTTTTTTAGAGCTATTACTGATTTTCAGATTGATTTTATTTAGGTTAATACTTCAAACATTAAAAATATAGTCTTAGAACTCTTTAGTGAAAATTTGATTCGAGGAAGAGGACTTTTTGCTAGATCCATTATGAAGGCCCAAGCTGCCTCTCTTCCATTTACTCCGGTTTATGCTGCATTAGTTGCTATTATCAATACAAAATTACCACAAGTGGGAGAGCTTGTATTGACACGATTGATTGCACAATTTCGGAAATCCTATCGACGTAATGACAAGGTAATTTCCCTAATTTATTTATTCCTTTTCTTTAAGTTTATTATTAATAAATAGCATTTTCTTATAGACTTCATGCCTCGCTACGACAACTTTTATTGCACATCTTGTTAATCATCTTGTGGCCCATGAAATAGTTGCTCTACAGATTCTTGTTCTTTTACTAGAAAAGCCTACCAATGATTCCGTTGAGGTGGCAGTAGGGTTTATGCGAGAGTGTGGCGCTCATCTGGCCGAAGTGTCACCAAAGGCAAATAATGATGTGTATGATCGATTCAGAGCGATTCTTCAAGAAGGAAATATTGAGACAAGAGTTCAATACATGATTGAAGTTTTGTTTCAAGTGCGAAAAGACAAATATAAAGATAATCCACCAATTCCTACGGATTTAGATTTGGTACAGGAAGAAGATCAAATAACACATCATTTATCACTTGACGATGAGTTGGATGTTGAAGAGCATTTAGGTACGCTATAAGCTTGTGATTCTTATAAATTTTTTAATACAAAATATTAATAAAAATTTTTATTATTTGAAAATAGTAATCTTCAAATTCGATAAAGATTATGTACAAAATCAAGAGAAATATGCAGAAATCAAAAAACAAATATTAGGGGAGGATTCTGGTGAAGAAAGTGATGAATCTGATTCCGAAGAAACCGAAGGAGACGAGGAAGAAGAGTCGAATCAAGGTAATTTATTTCTATTTCTAATGTATATCTAAATATAAATATAAAAATATATATATATATATATATATATATAAAGTGTAAATAATCTTTCATATATGTATATATATTCTTTAGCTGAAAAGATGCAAATACATGACCAAACAAATACGAATTTGATCACTTTGCGACGAACAATTTACCTTACTATCAAGTCGAGTGTTGACATGGAAGAATGTTGTCATAAGCTCATGAAACTTAATATACAAGAAGGACAAGAGGTATGTAAATATATATGTTATTTAATTTATTGCTTGTGCTCGTATTTGATGAACGATATCATACACTTTATATAGGTTGAACTTTGTAACATGATAATCGAATGCTGTTCGCAAGAACGGACTTACGAAAAGTTTTTCGGATTAATCGGAGAACGACTCTCAAAAATTAATTTAATATGGGCAAAATCATATGAGCAATGTTTTATGCAATATTTTGAAACGATACACCGCTATGAGACGAACCGACTTCGAAATATTTCAAAATTCTTTGGGCATCTTCTTGGGTCGGACGCAATTTCTTGGGAAGTATTTAGAGTGATCCGGTTAACGGAAGACGACACAACTTCTAGCTCTCGAATTTTCGTAAAAATTTTATTTGAAGAGCTAAAGAGTTCACTCGGTTTACGTAAATTGAAAGAGAGATTACGGACACCGTCCATGCAAGAATATTTTGCTGGTCTATTTCCAAAAGATAATCCGAGAAATACTAGATTTGCTATTAATTACTTTACTAGTATTGAGATGGGCGCTTTGACAGATGAATTAAGAGAACATTTACAGGTATGTTTTCCTTAGAACATATTTATCTTATTGAATGCTAATCTTTCTTTAGTGTAAATTTTTTTTGTTAATTAATATGTATCATTTTATTTGACAGAATGTTCAAAAACTTATAATGACAAAAAAGAGAAAAATTGATGAAGTAACCTCATCGTCCGAGTCTTCATCGGAGTCTTCGTCCGATGAGTCATCAGATTCTTCAACAAGCACTTCATCTGGTTCATCATCATAACGTTGAATTACACTTAAAAATTTTTTTGCAATGTTAGAAAAAAATCAGTTTGAACTCACAATCCATGTAGTTAATAATGCATATTTTGATTCACACATAAATAATTGGAAAGTTTTACAGGGGAGGTCACAATACAATAGGCAATGTTCTGCTGTGCAACAAAACCCAGAATTTCTATCAGCGTAACGCGTCTTTTTAAATTTCAATATTGCTTCACAATGTGTTCAAATCAAAACCACATTAATTCTAGTATGTTTTCAAATCCTGAACAAACATCAGAGACAGCTCCCTTTCTTTTACCTGTATCTCCTACAAAGATCCACGAAGAACACCAATACCTAAATTTAATTAGGCATATACTAGAACATGGTCAAAGACGCTCCGATAGAACGGGTACAGGAACACTTTCGGTTTTCGCTCCAAATCAACTACGTTTCTCGTTACGTGATAACGTGTTCCCACTTTTGACTACAAAACGCGTGTTTATTCGTGGTGTTATTGAAGAATTATTGTGGTTTTTAAGAGGGGATACTAATTCGTTGCACCTTACAGAAAAAGATGTTCATATTTGGGATGAAAACGGGTCTCGTGAGTATTTGGATAAAGTCGGCTTAGGACATAGGAAGGAAGGTGATTTGGGACCTGTATATGGATTTCAGTGGAGGCATTTCGGAGCGGAATATGTGGACTGCGATACAGATTATACGGGGAAAGGAGTTGATCAATTACAAGAAGTTATAAGAATGATTAAGAGTGATCCTACCAACAGGCGTATTATATTGAGCGCATGGAATCCGGCAGGTATAATGATTATATATTATATACCAATTATTGATGAGTAATGTTTCTTTTTTGTTGTTTGATTTTAATTTCAAAATTTGTTTTAGATCTGAGTAAAATGGCGTTACCGCCATGTCACATGTTTTGTCAATTTTATGTGTCTACTCCAACACCCGAATCACCCAAATCAACCCTTTCATGTCTATTATATCAACGCTCTTGTGACATGGGTCTTGGAGTACCATTCAATATCGCGAGTTACGCGTTGCTTACTCGTATGATTGCACATGTTACCGATCTCTTACCGGGTGAGTTTATTCACACTCTGGGCGACGCACATATATATGTTGATCACATAGAAGCGCTCAAATCTCAATTAAAACGCGAACCGAAAAATTTTCCAAAGCTACACATAAAAAGAGATGTGAAGGATATTGATGATTTCCGTTACGAGGATTTTGTAGTTACTGGATATCAACCGCATAAAAAGATTGAGATGAAGATGTCTGTTTAGTAACATTAACAGTAGAATAATGATAGCAATTTAATTATTAATTTAATTGGTCTTTAATTTTTGCTTATGATAAAGAACGCGTCTAGCTTATACAACATAGATGATCTGAATATCAACTAACGCAAAATATTACAAATTTAAATTTAAATCTAATATTTTCTTTTTCCGTCCGTAACTTCGTCATGTTTCAACAACATATTCCACGACAACAGCAACCTCAATTACGAATAATTAACACCTTTCAATATCTAGAGAGTGGAGCTCATCCACCACTTAGACAAGATCTGGTTGATTTAATACCCTTGTTTTAAAAATTAAACTTCCCGATTCCTTTAACTTATTTGTCAAGGATTCACTTTTTTAATTAGGATTATTCCATATATTGTCCTTATTTATTGCGAACTTATGACATTTCAGATCTTTCTTCATTGCAAAGCACAAAAGCGGTATTTTATCTCTACAAATTCAAATAAAACATCTCAACAAATGGATAAATAACAAAAAACTTTTTCCTAATTTAAAAAAATTTAGAAAATTGATGTCGTGTCAAGATATCGCAATTTCGATGTAGATTCTATATTAAAGGAAATGAAAAAGGGACTGAAACTACGAAACTTGATTAAAGACCATGATCTAGTAGTAGGAACGAACCAAGATATTGTGTGTTGTGTTTGTTAGGTTAAATTTGTCAAATTTCAATTTTGAGTTACGCGTAATTCGCACATTTTTTTCTAATGACCATTATCTATTATCTAGAATGTTGGCAATTCTTCAATGAATAAAACAGCAGAGGAAAAATATGTAAAGTTAGTATATCTATATTTAAATTTAGAGAATATTATGTATTAATTATTACAATCTTTGAAAAATTAGACAATTACTCGAATTAATTGAAATTGTGGTGGGATTTATACGTCCTACGTATTCTTCAAAGTCATTCACACATCAACGATATTCGACATTAAATTCAAATGATCTAGAGTATTTTCTACCTGTCGCGTTATTTGAGTGGGATATATTTGACGAGATCGATGCTGATGCTAATATCAAAGAGATTGATTTAAAAGTTAAAATATTTATCAATTTATTGAGTTTACTATATCATCCATTAAAAATCACGCATATATCGTGTTTTTAATTTATAACAGGAAATTGTGCAAGCCCTAACGTTATATTCAAATGGAAATAATCTGATCAAAATTCTTGTAGCGAACAATCCACCTATTTTTATGGAGGTAAAATCTCTGTCCTAAAATTGTATAATGTCGAGGGCTCGTAATAAGTTAATAGTGATTGTTTTAAGGTTGTTAATATCTTAATTGAAGCATATAAACATCGAATTCCATCCGACGTGAAATCACGCATTCAGTAAGTTTGAATGGAAATTAAAAGAATTGATGCATAAGCAATAATGGTTTTTATTAATTAAAATTTAATTTCTAGAGAAACATTATTCGCATTATGTGAATTGGGACCGCATCATTCACCAAGTGTACGCACCAATCTTGCCAAGCATAATATTTTGGCTGGATTGGCTGTAAGGATCACTTTAAAATTCTGCAGCGATCTGGTAAGTTTTATTTTGTATATATACTTTAATATGCTTTTTATTAGATATTCAGTTTCTTTTTACATTGATTGCACAGGTGACCTTTATTGATGGTGTCCTGATTACAAAGCCAGCCTGGTTAATTGCTCAATTAATACCGCAAACTCAAGTGATGAATCAGCTTCAAAGTCGAATTATGGAGACATTGGAAAACAAATTGGTAATATTAAGAGATACTTTGTTTATATTCCATCCACTTTGATCTTACGTATATTTTTTTCGGACTAAAAGAACCAAAGACCTCGGCTAACTCAAACAGATTTATCAATCTTGTTACGTGTTATCTGTGGATTTGCTAGCGTTTTAAATATTCATTATAAATTACCAGAATTACAGCTATGCTTGAAAGTAGTGACAATTGCAACTTCAGAGAGGTTTCAAAAAATTTCTTACGATTATAATTTCGATTCAGCAAATCCATTTGAATTAATGGCTTAATCATTGAATTTTCTATTAAGACTGGTGAAACTTTGTTTATGCTTTATACTGATTTGCTCAGAAATGCTATTTAATCATGGACTGGTAATTTATTATTAAAAAAATTATTCAAGTACTCGTAGGCGGGACGAGGTCAATATGTTTTAATTTATATTTTTTTTAAATTATATTAGAAAAATAGTGTTGAACAAGCTCTTCAGTATCTAAGTAAATCCGAGCACTTTCATTTATTTTTACTTTTTGCAGTATGTTTCAATAAGAGCCAAACAACCGAAATTCGTGAGATATGCAATGCTCTTTTGGGAATGGAAGTTAATATTCGTATCTTTTTAAATCAATCGATAATAGTTGTTTGATGTTTTAATTTTAAATAAAAAAGCATTGTTTTACAAATTATCATTTAACTATCCACCACACAAATCAAGCTTCCAAAGGATTCGCGGAATTACAAAAGATTTTTAAACATAACTTGATTACTGACGAGTTTTTGGCAAAGAGGGCTTTATTATTGGAACCTTCAACTTTCTCGAATTTGGGTGTATGTATATATGTATTATAAAGAATGATGCTGCCGTTCATTATTAGAACTCATTTAAAGGTAAGATTAATTTCAATGTCAAATATTAATATCAAAAATTTCATTAGATACCCACAGATCGTGAGTCATTATCGCTATGGTGTTTTTACAATCTACTCAAAGGAAAAGTATTTCATTATAATAATGTGGACATCCGAAATTGGATACATCGACAAATTCTTTATGCTACTACCCCAATTCACGAAAGTATGGGGCCTCTGTTACAGAGATACGCGGAAAGGTCGGTTTCAGCATCAACCAATTAACCATTTGTATATTTATAATTTTTTACTGATATGCTCTTCTAATTACTATCACTGGTAACATATCCATTAGTATCCTTGAAAGAGATGAAAAAAATCCAAGAAATTGGAGTCCAATTACAAAAATCCCTGAGCAAAATCTTGTCTCATTATTTCAAGATGAAATGCTCGAGATAAAACCGGCGCACGTACTGATGCTAATGTATGCCTTATATTTTAACAATGGCGTACATTCGTTTGTGCTAAATAACCATAATATTCAAATTCCTATTGATCGACAAGGTATTTTAAGACTCGATTTTTCGATCATATATTTACAATCACAAAATATTGTTTTGCCTCGATGATAGCGTATTCAACCAATTCGATGGAGAATATTCCTATTCGTAGAATTCTTAATTATGCAGAGACATTTGATAAGGGAAAGGCCTACCGTGAAATATACCCGGAATTATTGTCACTGGTTGCTTCTAATTACCCCGAAACATTTGATATTGCTAGTTTCCTTACCACCGAAGATCGGTAAATTTCCCAATCGTGATTTCTTCTAGAAAAGTGAATAATTCGATAACCTATGGGATTTTTCAATTTTTTCAATAAGTTGGAAAACTAGAATTTGGAAACGCTCAAAAGTCCAAAAATTAGATTATCAGAAAGCTGTCGATCACAATATTCAAGCTGTAATGCCTCGATGGTTAGACGAGCCAGAGGAAACTTTAGCAGGTAATGTGCCAACTTATTTTACTATAAGTAATACATTAACTTGACTATAATTTTCCTTCTAAACTAGTCTTTAACAAATTGGAGTCAATACCACCGTCCGATTTAGCTTTGAGCTCACGCACGATAATATCAAACGTTTTACCGAGAATTCTTGATCCACGGTATTCATTTTGAAACACAGATCCAATTTCATTTTCGTTTTTTTTATATTGATAATAACAACATTATAATAAATGTTAATCATATATTTGCATGTATGAAAATAGTACGGATGAACGTATTGTGAATTCATTTACCAAAATTTGGGATATTCTTAATTGCGTAAACCAAAATGAGCTTGCGTCTTTAACCATTAATGCATTACGAAGTGGGACCGAAGAAGGGTAAAATACTTTTATTCTATTATTGTAAACATTTTGATATATTTTATTTATAGACCGAATCATATTATAGGGAAATTGAAATGGAGGAATTTTCTCAATCGGTGTTTTTGCTTAATCCTATTGCAATATTGAATCTTGAACCACAAGTGTTTAGATGTCCTCCCATATATCGTATCGTATTACAGGTATCTGAAGGAAATTATATTATATTCGTAAATTATAAAAATATGTTCGCTAATCAATCCTCTCTTGACTCTTGGACATCCAGATTATAACTTTTTATCTGATAGGTTCTCGCCATCGATTTCATAAAGAATACTTATTCGGAAATCCGCATTTTAAAGTAAACTTTCAATGTTATTTGCGAGTACGATAGTCCGTAAATCAAATAATACACCTAATGTAATCATCCTTTGTGCATTAGAATACATTTACAGAAAAGAATTTCGAAACTTTCCTCGATTTGCAAGATTGTACAATCATTCTTATGTTATTACGTGGATGCTTGTTCAATCCCATAGAAGATTCACAGAAAATGGGTAAGTTTTTGAATTTAAATTCCAAAGCTGCTTCTAAGATGCCAAATGCTAATTAATTGGAATGTTTCTTTATTTTTACTACAGGCGTATTAGATGAAATTCGCACATTGACTTGCAATTTTCTTCATCAGGTTTTCATTGAAAACTCTAAACTGCAGAAACTGGTCATCTATCAAGGTTTCGAACACGAATTAGTACCCATTATAGTTGATCGCGTTGAATCTATGCGTAAGTTTTACTTTGAATAATTCGTGCTGCTTTGTTTTTATGATAACTTCTTTTGTTCAAAAAAGTTATGCCATATTATAGATGTTTGTATTGATTACCTACAAGAATTAATAACCAACAAAGATAATAAGGTTCGAAATTTCGGATTAATTCTAGCCTCGTGGATATGTGAGAAATGGCCATTAAGTTCTACGTGAGTATAAATAAAAATGCTTTTTTTGTCAACATCTTAAAATGCTTTTTTTCCCACCTTTGACATATTTATCTGTACAACAAAACAGGCTCTACCTTGCGAAAAATGTAATAATTCCAATAATAAGGGATCTCGTCAGAAATATAATTCCTGCAGATATAAATCAAACATTCTTTGAGATTTATAACGCAGCTGCTCGAATTGCAAAGATATTTCCACCGCTTAAAGAAGAAATACAGATGATATTGGATGGTTCGTTATTTATTTGTTAGCTTTCTTTTATTTTTTTTTTCTTTAGTTCGGATGACATAAATATTCTAAATTATCTTTTTTCGAAAGATCCATCACCTTTTAAGGTTCTTCAAAAAGATTCATCTGAGTTGCGTAATCAGTTGTCAGAGAATATTCAAAAGTTGTATGAAGAGCTTAAATCGACGCGGATTGAGGACAATATGGAAATTGATAGTTAAACGTAGAGATGGGCACGCGCAGTTAGGGTTTTCGATATACTATGTAGATCAAAATTTATATAGTCATACTAAAATCCGATTTTTTGTGTAACTGACGTGATATCTTTTTTATTAGTTTAGTCTTGCAAATACCCTGTCGTTATCTCAATATTCATAATTCCAAGTACTTTATTTATTTTGCGAATATTTGCTTGTCGGTGTGGTTGAGCAATTTTTATACAATGTCGTTTTTGTTTCGGTATTTGTTTCATATCGTAAATTATTTCTTTACTAAAGGAAACTTATCGTTAATTATTTCTTATAGTTATAAATATAATTAATTATATGGATCAGCAAAAAGATTTGTATCTCAATATAAAAATCAATAATTACTTCTAATAAAAATCATTCAAATTTTAACCAATCTTTATAATTTTTTATATTAAATAAAAAAATGATCTAAATTTAACTTTTTAACTGTTCTATTATACTTTAATTCAATAATAAATAAAGCATTACTTTACTAAAAAAAAAAATTAAAATAAAATTATTTTTTTAAAAAAGAGATTTTAAATATTATCATTATCAGTTTACAATATTAGAACTTTAAATTGCTTGTTCTAGATTTGATAAATATATATTCTAAATTTCATAAAAATTGAATTAGTAGTTATAAAGATATTAAAATTTAAAGTTGAGTAATTAATCAAATTTTATATAGTAAAATTTAAGAAATAATAATTGAAAAAAGTTATTATTAGTAAAAATTTTTTTATAAAAGATATATAATAAAAATTTTTACATTTAAATAAATTCCAATACCTAATAACTTAATTAAATAAGACAGAATTAAATTTTATTTTGAAAAAATAATTTATTAATATTTATCTGAGATATAAATCTTTTTATATTGATTCATATTTAACATTATTAAATATTAATAAAAATATTTCTTGCAAAATTTTAAATATAAATATATATAATTAAATCTCTTTATAAAAATATATTATATAAGAATATTTACTTATAAGAATCTTATTTCTAAGAACAAATTAATTTTATATGTAATTTAACTTTATATAAGAATATTTTAATAATAAAAATATAGAATATATTATTTGATTCCAGTTTTAATTAGTCTTTCTTTCAGTAAGAACATATTATATAATATTAAAATTTATAAAAATATAAATATATTATTTGATTTCAGTTCTAATTAATCTTTTTTTAATAAGAACATAATATGTGATATTAATTATAATTAATCAATTATATTTATTAATAATTTTACTTATAAATTATAAGATAATAAGTAAGTAAAAATTATTTTTGTTACAAGACTCTTTACTAGAATTTTTTTATAAGATATATTTTAAATTTTTAATTATTTATTTTATCTTAATTATTAATAATTTCTTAATTTTTTTTATTTTTGCTTTATTCTTATTATATCTTTATTCTTAAATAATTTTATTTACTTATTCTTAATTAAATTATTTTATTATTATATTTTTTTTGATTTTCTTATTATAATATATTATTTAAAAAATTAATTTATAAAAAAAATAAATATATAATATGAGTTGATACAAAAAGATTTATATCTCAGATAAATATTAATAAATTATTTTTTCAAAATAAAATTTTAATTCTATTTTATTTAATTAAATTATGATTTATTATAAAAACTTTGATATATTAACTATAAATCTTAATATTTTTATAATTACTAATTTAATTTTTATAAAATTTAGAATATATATTTATTAAATTTAAAGTTCTAATATTATAAATTAATAATAATAATATTTAAATATATTATTTAAAAAAAATAATTTTATTTTAATTTTTTTTTAGTAAAGTAATACTTTATTTATTATTAAATTAAAATATAATAAAATAATTAAAATGATATAAAAAGTTAATTTAGATTATTTTTTATTTAATATAAAAAAAATATAAAGATTAATTAAAATTTGAATAATTTTTATTAGAAATAATTATTAATTTTTATATTAATATATTAATCTTTTTGCAATAGTTTATAATAAGAATATAAAATATATTATTTAATTTTAGTTTTAATTAGTTTTTCTTTTAGTAAAAATATATTATATAATATTAAAATTTATAAGAATATAAATATATTATTTGATTTCAATTTTAATTAATTTTTCTTTTAATAAAAATATATATATAATATTAATTATAATTAGTCAATTATATTTATTAATAATTTTATTTATAAATTATAGAATAATAAGTAAATAAAAATTATTCTTGTTATTTATAAGACTCTTTATTAGAATTTTTTTTATGAGATATATTTTAATTACTTATTTTATCTTAATTACTAATAATTTTTCTTTTATTTTTACTTTATTTTTATTATATTTCTATTTTTAAATTATTTTATTTACTTATTTAAATTATTTTATTGCTATATTTTTTTAATTTTATTATAATATATTATTTAAAAATTTAATTTATAAGAAAAATAAATATTTAATATTATATATAAAAAAATAAGCTTATTCTAGATTAATATATTATCAGATATTTATCATAAAAATATAGTTAATTATTTTAATAAAAAATATTCTGAACTTGATATTATATAAATAATTATTATAATATTAATTTAAGTAATATATTAGAAATAACTTATAAGTATTATTTATTAAAATTTTTCTTGTTAGAAAAAGTCTTAAATTTTAAATTAATTAAGTATTTACTATAAGATTAATTCTAATCAAGTTATTTTTTTTTAAGAAAAAAACTAAATATTTTTTAAATTTAATAAGAATATTCTTTAATAATTAAATAATTAGATAGAAAAATTTAAAGTATATAATGATATAAGAGCTTTCTAACTTTATAATAAAGCTAATTAATATTAATTAAAAATTTATTTGAAGAAAGAAAAAAATTATATAAATTATTATTATAATATAAAACTGAAAATATAAATAAAATTAATTTATTTTATTAGATAATCTTAACTTAAACTTTATAAAGTATCAGACTATTAGTAAGAAAATAATAAATTTTTAAAGTTTTTTATTTATATTAATAATTTTTTTATTAATATATTAATTAAATTTAAAATAAAATATAAATTATTATTTTATTAATTACAAATATTATCAGAACTTATAAACTTAAATATTTTTTATAATTAATATTATAAAATTTTTATATTTATTTAAAAAAATTAATATTTTCTTATTGTTTATTATATATTTATAAATATATAAAGAAATTTGATAAAGTTAATTAAAATATATTAATAAGTAATATTGAATATTATAATTATTATAATATAATAATATGTTATTTATCATAATATTATAATTTAAAATTATTAAAATTATAATTAGTTATAATTTAATAATATTTATTTATATATAATATTAAAATAATTAAGAAGTTATCTTTATTAATAAAAGTTTTTAAATTTTATAATAATATATATTTTTATTTATTAATAATACTTTATTATATAATATAATATATTCATAAATAAATAAATCAAATAATAATTTAGATAATTTATTAAAGAAGATAATATTAATTTATTAAGTGAGAAAGAAAATAAGTTAATTATAAAAAGCAAAAAAAAAAATGACAAGAAAATTTAAATTATAACTAAAAATTCTTTTTAAGAATTATTTTATTTTATAAATATTCATATTTATTATTTTTTATCAAATATAATTATTTATTTATAATTATTTAATATAAAAATTATTAAGTTCTTTAAAATATACTATTATTAATATTATTACTATCATATTTTAAATTAATTTAAGCATAAAATTAATATTATAAAGTATATTCTATAATAATTTTAATAAAAATAATTAAAAAGTAAAGATAAAATTAATTATAATTTATTAAACTTCTATATTATTTATTAATTTTTTATTCTTAAAAATAAGTTAAATATATTGATAATTAAATTTAATTTTAACTTATTTTTCTATTATTTTTCTTCTTTCTTTTCTTTTTTCAAATTGGTGATTCTAATGCTGGTTTCGTTCCAATAACATGGGATTGGGCAGATGAAAGCGGTGGTGGTGATAGCGTCTCTTCCGCAAATTTAACAACTTCTGCTATTCTATCATCATCATCTACGCCATCACTTACTTCATCCTCTCCAATAAAGGATCAACCATTATCTAGAATCTCGCAGCTATTCTTTGATGGGTTCGTTGTATCCAATCTTCATATTCTGGAATTGGAAAAACCTTTAAATCAAAATCCATAGGAAAAGCTAACGTTGATCTAGGTGACTTGACTACGGTTTCTTTCTTAATAATCAGTGTCAACTTTTTTGAAAATGCATCTATGGTTCAGAGAAATCCTCGATCAAGCCCTAGATTAAGGCCATTAAAGCCAAATCAGCATCAGACTTTACTTAAAATATCACGTGATTCGAGACTTCTCACAAGCTCCTGATCTCCGACCCCCGATTCAAATTACCGGAATTTTTTTGGGTAATCGGGAGGTAGTCTATTAACATTAACAATGCCAACAGTATCTTGTCTTTGAATTTGGATTGTGATCTATATTCTTGAATAAATTTATTAAGCATATAATGACAATATTATCATGAATTAATAATTTGTCTAACATCTATTTATTGGTTGTTTGGAATAACTTTTAGTTTTTTATACGTTAAATCAATCAAAGAAACAAATCACATAAAACGCGTAGATCATGTTTTTATGCTTGTAAGACTATTACTGTATGTTTTACGAGATTTAATGATAATATAAATTTAAATTTATGGGTTTTCAATGTGTGTGTGTGTGTAAAGTTATTAAATTTTTTAATCTGTTTGAGTGATGCAAAACTTTTGGCAGCCACTGTATATGTTGGTTTCAAAATTCGATGATGTCTCAGATGGCGTTTCCAGAATTTCGACTTACTTAAAGTTTGTGGGCTGTGAAGAAGAGGTCAAACAATTAATGATGAACATGGAAAAGTTGCATTACCTCATCAAAAATCTCAAACAATATTCGGAGCCCAAAAAAGAAATAAGTTCCCCACGGCTATAGGAACGTCCGGAAAAGGAAAATCACATTTGCTCGGCGAGCGTACGAAAATTCAGAAATTTATTCTAAAATCTGATGTAGAGGCGCTGAGTGAGTGCCATGAAGCAGGCCGGAATTTTCGAATGGCATGTGATAATTTTTCAGAGATAGTGCTTGAGAAGAATCCTGAAACGTCTTCTGGCTGGAATAAGATTTTTAATATTTGATCTTCATCCATTTGCAACGCCTACGGATATCGTTACATTTATTTGATCATTTCATTATCGCTTTTGCAGTATCAAAGTTTTGACAAATTTAGCCAAATGTTAGGAAGTAGATTCTCTTTCGAGAGCATTCTTGATGTAATTCTATATTGCATTCCGTGTTTGAATGATCAGATTAAAGTTCCCCTCTTTATTATCAACAAACGCGTTGTTGGACTTAAAAATTACAACTGGCTCCAGATAGCTCTTAGATCTCTTGCGAGAGCCATCTCGAAGGGATATTTTCTTTTTGTTGTCCTATCAGGAACCCACGCTTGATACAGTCAAGTAATACAAGAACAGAAGACATCTCTTTACCGCTACTCATGCTGAAGTAGTATTGATTGAACTAGCCAACCGGGATTAAGTATAATTATTGGCATTTGCTGTTGGTTAATGCTGAGTTTTGCATACGATTTTTATTGAGATTTAGGATCAATGGGCTCGCCGAGCATCTGAAATACATAATTGAGCTTCTTGGCCGTTTCTCAAAGCTATGATCTTCCAAATGAGTGTCTTTGGTCAGCTGTTGCTAATAAGGAAGTCACGATTGATAACATATTCTAGCAAAGTGGATGCATTACTTCTTACAAGAATGTCACATCAACTTAAACATTGCCAAGCCTCAAGAGAACGAAACACAACACATCAATGATAAGTATCAACGTTGCTCACATCAAAAGTCATCCTTCTTGGTGACATACACTTTGTTTGAGTTGCCTGTTGGCCGGACAGACACAATCGATATTAATAGGAAGCGTAAGACCGCTGCTGTGAACTAAATGGTTGTCAATCTCTTGTTGTTGAGCACTCATTCGGTTTGCATATGTTCTCTTCGAGTCAACTGCTGCAACGACATTATCCGATTTGAGTCGTCTTCTTTTAGTAGTATTAGTAGTTGCGGCAGCAGCAGCTATCATTGAAGTTCTAAATCCTGATAATCATATTTCCAACATCCTGCGCTTAAATAACAATTTCTAGTTACACAAATCGATAGAAATAGCTGTGCCCTTGTAGCTTTACACAATATATTGGGAATTTCAGTTCCGTGGAGTTTTTCGTGTTGCTAAATGGACCAAAACCTTCGCAAAGATCCACGTTACAAAAAATATGTCTCTAGCGTCGAGAAGATTTTATTGTTGTTTGATAAAGAAGTGAATGAATGGGCGGATTTTATTACATTTTTGGGAAAGCTGTTAAAGGTTTGGAAATTTGTTGTTATTCCGTTATTGTACTTTTCTTAACAATATTGTGTTATTTTTGTTAGACTTTCCAAGCAAATGCTAAGCAGTTTAATGAAATACCATACAAGCTTCTTGTTGGAAAACGGCTTGCACAGTCTCTAAATCGTGCATTACCACATGGTGTCCATCAAAAAGCTTTAGAAGTGTATGATTGTATCTTTCAGAGTATAGGTGTAAGTTCTTTAAACATTATCGTTTATAAAGGATTATTAAGATATTTACAAGAAGTTGTATTTTTTGGATCAAATAAAAAGAGGATTATTATTCCTTTATCATGTTGACTTATTAATATATTGATCAAAGCCATGCATATACCAATAGCCAGACGTACTTGCCGAAGATCTATCAATATATTCACAAGGCTTATTTCCGTTACTTCAATATGCTAAGTTATCTGTCAAGGTATATTTTGTTCAATCTCTCGCGCATTTTTTTAAATAATTGATTACACGGTGAATCTTAATATGGTGGATATTCTGTACAATAACGGTATATATAAATCCTGCTCGATATAACAAAATCTTGATATAATAGATTTTGAAATTTTTTCTAATTGTTCGAGCCCACCGTTATATTGAGTTTCACTGTGTACATATTAGACGAGAAAGTTATAATTTGATAGATTATTTATGCCGTTTTCCTAGCCTCAATTACTGGAAATATACGAAAAACATTATTTTCCATTGCAAAAGCGGCTACGCCCTGTTATGAAAGCTTTTATTACAGCTTTGTTGCCTGGTCTAGATGAAGAGAACAGTGAATTCTTTGATAAGGTAAACTAAGTGAGAATTATCAATAATAGCTGAAAGAAAAGTCGATTCAATGTTTTTTATGAGTTTAGGTTCTATCGCTTCTTGATTATCTCTCGGGGATCGTGGAACAATCTTATTTTTTACAATGCATGTGGCTTGTCTTGATTACTTCACCTTCTTTGCGTACGTCAGCTTTAAATTATTTGAAGCGTCGAATGCCGAAAATTACTTCCAAAGAAGGTGTGATTTTCCGAGTTATTGTATATTATTTAGATAAAATTGGTTTGAATTATTTACTAATCATTATAGATATGAAAAAATTCAAAATTTCCTTGGAAATATAGATATGGCTTTTATGCTGGGTGATGATGCCAGTCTTATGGTGCGAGCTTTTTGCGCTACTTTAGGGGACAAAGAGACTTTGGTACAACGAAACCTCCTTATTTTGCTCGTTGCTAACTTTCCATTAAAAGATAAGAACGTTGGGGAGTAAGTTTTCACAATTGTAAGATTAAATCTGTTCTTTGTTTATTAATAATCATTCATTTTTATAATTTATTTAAAGCATTATGAAACAAGAAGACCTAAATTTATTAATGAAATCAGCGGTCTCAGTTGTTCTAAGAAAAGATATGTCATTGAATCGCTGGTTGTACGCATGGTTATTAGGCTCTGATGAAAGTTCAGAGCATCAAATCCAGCACTTTCGGGAATATGGGAAAGCGGGACTTGTTACAGCACTTAAGGGCATGTTCTTTACCAACGCGAGGGACTTGACAAGTACACAGCGCCCATATAAGATATTGATTTCATTGATGGATAAATGGGAAATTGGAAATCCCGTAGTGCAAGAGATTCTCGTGGATATTTTGATATCGTTAAAAGATCATATGCAAAAGTCGGCTTTCGCTAAAGACGTAAGTGCACCTGTTTATAAATTATCTTTTTATTTAACACTTGTCAGAATTGTCTGGTTATTTTTTTTTGTAATAGTTATTACAAACTGCACAAATGTTTCTGCAAATGATTCCACCATATGTTCTTTGGATGAAACTGCACCATCTCGTAAAAGAACAATTCCCTAGTTCCGATTCACAAGCAACAAAGGTTTTTATTATTTTGATTCCAGTCTGCGAATTTGTTAGTCTTTTGATATTAATATGAGACTTATTTATTCATAATAAATAATAGGCTTTAGACTTGATTTATTTTGTCGCGCAAGAAATTAAGTTACACGAAGAAGAAATTCAACAAATACATTTACCTTTATTCCTGACAATTTTATTACACAAACTGCAAGTATGCAATTCCAAAATATATGTTTTCCTCATAGTAACAACTTTCCGATATTGATCAACATTTTTATAATATAGCAAACTTTTTCATTAACAGGTGCTTGCTAACAGTCCGGAATTCACACAACATTTTTCTCAAATAGAGATTGCATTGCTATTGGCGCAGAATCTAATAAAGGAAATTCCTCAAGCTGTATTTAATCAGCCTGAAAGCATTTTAAATCTTTCAGAAGAGGACAAGAGAAGCGGAACTTTGGAGGATGAATCTGGATTTGAATTTACTGCTGGGATGGATCCTGTAAAGTACATTGATGCTTATTATAATGACGAAATTGCAAATTTTAGAGGTATTAGTGGGTTTGCTCTCGTGGAAGCATTATTGAAACCGCTTTTGGATTTCATCAATTGTTTAATTTCGCGGTGCATAATCGGGAAAGATCAACAACGCGATAATGTCACTTTGGATAATATGACTTTAATATTGGATAGAAGTTGTGGGCTTTTACGAACAATTTCCAAGCATTTTACAATTTCTTTAGAACAATCTTCACAAAACTTTATTGAAACTCGAGATTCTTTAATTCAAAAAATATTTGATGGGGAATGGATTCACTCCTTACTAAAATGCTGTTATAGAGTTGATAATTTTTGCATTATCGACCCGGCACTTTCTACCATAATTGATCTAATTGACCGAAAAATAATTTCTTCATCACTTTTGGATCCAAAACAACAAACTCGCGTTATTGTGGATAAGCTGTGGTCATTCTTGAATCCCAACAATGCCTTGTATCACACACGATGTGTGCAACTCTTGTGGAATCTTCAGAAAATTTCATCTGCTAAATATGTCGAGACAGTCTTTTGTGAATATTTAACGCATAAAGACATTGCTGTTCGATTGTCATCATATGAGAAATTTGGAATATTCTGGAGGTTATCGGACGATTCTTTTAATGTCAGCATGGCATTTTCACAACCAATGTTTCTTATGCTTGATACACTTCGTTTTGAAAACCCCACAAATCGCCGCGCGGGAGAAACATGGATGAGATCTCAACAGGACTCTTACCCGAAACTTTTGGATCCTATGATCACTATAATTTGTAACCCGTCTATTATCTTTCGCAGTACAGAAATAATCATTGATAAAGAAAAATTTGCACTTTTTCTTTACGAGCGTCCGTTCAATCAGGCCCAAGTTAATTATGTTTTTGAAACCATGGTTACAGTCTGTCGAGTAAGCGGACAGGGATTCTTACGAGCATTGCGAGAGTCTTACGTTAAAAATCAATTATTGACTAATTGTGGTTGGCTTTGGGGATCTGTGTCTTCTTCGGCTAATATTACATACACTGAATTTTTTGTTAGACTGGCTCTTCGATATATAGAGACCGAAATGCCTGAAATGTTGTCGTCTATGAGTGTGCTAAATGAACATATACACATGCACGCAACTGATTTGCTGAATTTGATTCTTACTCGACCCGAGTTCGTCGATTCTAATTTGGTGTCTATGATTTATGATGTCGTTTTACGAAAGATTCTTTACAGTATACGAACAAAAAAATTGGATCTACAAGCAAGACTTTTGCATCTTTTATTTTCGACAGTCATAATCATTGGTTCTTCAAAAATTACTAATGGAAGATCATCGTCGCCATCACCAAGCATTTTCACTAAAAAAACATTATTATCGGAACCAGCATTCGCCGATAGTACTACTTCACTTTCACAACACTCTCTCCACGAAGGATCTCTAAGTAAAGACGAAAAGGAATCATTTCGTGTTTCTACAGCAACCATTAGTTCTCCCTTATATATCAAAGTTTTACTTCAGGCTCTATCGGTACCTTCTAATCGACCTTTACTACAACAATGGATGGACTTTATCATAAACACGTTTCCGTATTTTCGGCAATCGTTTAATACAATATTACTGCCGTTATTACAATGTATCTGCGAACAATTACGATTATGGAAATCTGAAATACAAAAGCAACATGAAATTGTTTTTGCCGACTGCACTGATAATAAAAATGCTTCGAGTATTGACACGAATGAATTCACCGCATCGGATTGGAATGTCAACACTTTGTTTTCAGGATTAGAAAAAACACTGGTATTCTGTCTATTGGATGGCATATCGAATGGTTTAGTGGATGAATCCGATATTAGTGTAAATGAACCTACGGCATCTGCAGGAACAGTGTCAACTTTCGTCTTTGATTATGTAAATTCGGATCCGGAGCAAAAAGTAATGTAAATTAATTATTAACTCATTCACAAAATATAATTACTACAAAGCTTAATTAATTAACGATAATTTATTTTTGATTATTATTTTTAGCCTCGAGAATTCATTGTTTATCAAGTTTTTCCTTATGTTGTTAGCATTCTGCTTGATATATGGGTCTTGTTCAGAAAAACACCATATTCTGAATTAATTCCAAACGAGACTATCACAAAGAACACAATTGATAAGATAACAGATAACACAAATGCTAATCATCCTTTTAAACTATCTTTGTTACAAATGAGTGAGAAGATTAATTTGCGTATTATAAAGATATTCGAACGATTATGTAAAAACAATCGAGGAGAGCTTATTGAAGCTTTTGTTGAACTTTGGTGCCAAGAGTATCTTAACTCCATCGAAAATAAGGTTGTGATTCATTGTTTCTTTTTCTTTATGCCATGATCATTCATTCTAATCACTTTCAATTATTTCGAATTACTTGAAATAGTTTAATAATACAGGTGACGAAAGCTACATTATTCAATTGCTCAAATTAATACCGAGCTATCAACCGCAAAAAGTTATTAGCATATTACTCGAAAGTAGTCGTGTACGATCTTCTGCTGTGCAATCGGCCTCGCGATCAAAGAAGTCTATAACAAAGCAGAACAAATTGTAATTAATAAATTAATACTGGAAAGCTTTTTTTGCTTCTCTTTTATCTTCGCATGCATTCATTCATTATTTATTATTATTTTGTATTTGTGGATAAAGATCAGACGTTTTAATATTAAAATTTCTCGAGGTTTATACGGATTCTCTGAGTTCGAATATAGAGGAGCCGCTCGTTGATGTATGGCAACAATGTTTGGGTTATGTCAAGGATATGTCCGCGCAGGCTACTATTTATAAATATTTGCTTCCGTCTTTACTGAGGTAAGCGACTGAATTGAAGCGAGTTTTTATAGGCAGATTATTAAAATGTGATAATACCCATTATTATAATTATCTCTCTGATCTTCTGAAAGATTCATGACTGTAATACTTTTAAAATTATCCAAAACGGATTTCTTTAAAGAAACTCGTACTCAACGAGAAATGCAGGTAAATTAATATCTTTTATTCATTTATTTACCCGATAAAATCTCCATATATTAATCATTTATAAAACAATTTAGGATATTTATCAACGCGTGCTTGAATATTGCATTCAAATTGCAGGACGTTCCTTTGACCAATTTCTATGGTCAAGGCGGGTAACACGTGAGGACGAAGATACAGCAATATCAATATATGTTGCAGATGGTGAATAATATGCAAAGCCTCGTGAATTTTGTTTTTTTTGAAAACTTAATAAAAAAATTCAATTTTTGAAAAGGAAATGATGAAAAGGACACCGAGTCTCCCCGTTCGAGTACTCCTTTGCAAGATGAAAAAAAGGGATCGGGAAAATCAAAAGAAGAGTTAACAATCGAGCAGGTCTATAAGAAGGATTCTATTATATCATAAGTTTGAACTAGAAATTATTAAATTGATATTAATATTTCTTTATTTTACAGGTCAATCTATATCTTGCCACATCTGTAATTCCAAATCTAAGGCGATTCTTCTTGTATGAATCAGATCGTGTTGTTCAGATATTATCAAATGTCATGTATTATATTATTGCACCAGCATTGAAAAAGCAATATGGGTATTTATATTTTGGATTATTTCGTTTATCCTATCTTTTCGCAGCATTCTTACACTCATCACACATCTGAATTTATTTATTACATCAACAGTAATGCAATAAATTCAATCATATTAGATATGCTATGTGAGATATCACAGATCCCTTCCGTCTATCCTCGATGGCGTAAAGAAGTTTGGGACGTTTTCACCGATAATCGCTTCTTCAACATGAGCTCCGCTTATGCCAAAAAATGGCACGAAATAATGAAAATCATTATGATTTCTGAAAAGGAAAGATTCACGGAGATACTTGGTAAGTAGATTGAAACGTTGAGTGAAATTGTGAAACCGGAAAATTTTCTAATATGAACTATTCTATATTAGCTCGGATATCGACATCGCCTACAAATACATTATTCACAAATAGAGATCAAGAATCCTATAACCGTGCATTGAATCTACGACGCCTATCTTTTATCTTATATTGTGGCAAAATGGATCAATATCTATCCCAGTTGCCTTTGGTGCAGGAAAAATTAGTGGAATTGTTGAAACTGGGATTAACTGAGATGGTTCACGTCGAGGTACTTGATGCCTTTTTTTTCTTCAAAAAATTTTGCATTAAATATTGGTCTATTAACTGAGTTTTATAGATATATCTATGTTTACGAATACTCATGTGTCGCATAACGAATCAACATTTGTCGAATTTTTGGCCAGTCATATTAACCGAGTTGGTTAGTATTGGAGGAATTTTTTCCTCGTGTAATTTAATGGTTTAACGATATAATTAAAAAAATGGTAATCGGATTTTTTGTACGCTTATTGCAAATAGACACGTCTTTTTGAATTCTTACAACAAGAAATGCCACCAGAACAAGAAGTGCTCAATGTATTCCTGGCTGCTTGCAAATTTTTGGATCTTTTATTCGTGTTGCAGACTGATGAATTTCAAGTGTACGTGTTTTAATTTCTATACATCATTTTATCGTACACACGTTTAAGTTTTTTTTTTGGGATATAAATTTAGGTATGAATGGATGTTCATCACAGATACTATTGACGTGATTTATCGGTCGACACCTGGGTCATCATATGCACAATTAGACAAACTCAGTGAAAAATTAATAGCTCAACAAAGCGGTGACTTCAAGGTATTATAAAATTATTATAATAGATTCATACAAAATATTACGTACGCATTTGACTATAAGTTTTATTTATTATTACTCTTTCATTTATAACATTTGCTCAGAATACACAAGCGAATCAAATCCCCAAAAAATCGAAAAGAACCGGATCTCCTTCACCACAACCACAACCTTCATCTATATCTTCTTCAATTTCTCATCTCACCACTGATGAACTTAAACGTCCAATGCTAACAATGCGAATCATAACTGACCTTGGACAATTGGAATTTTTCGTGCGTCACGTTAGTCTCTACGTGTATCAATCTACTTTTTCGCTAGCTGAACCTGATTTAGTTTATATTGAAAGTTTGCTTGAAAATGATTTGTTGGATGGTAGCGGTAATTTTGTTGAAGGCAATTATAATAATAATAATTCAAGTGGTTCGTTGTTATCATGATCTTAGATAATCTAATATTAAATAATAATCTTAATTGAAAACTTTTTGTTTTTACTGAATATCAATGATTCTTTAGAAATCAATCCGACATAGCGAGAAATTAAAAAATAATATTAATTGAAAATTTTTTGTTTTTACTAAATATCAATGATTTCTTTAGAAATCAATCTGACATAGCAAAAAAATTCGAGTCATTTATTATATAAAATAAATAGACACTATGTATTAGTAGATCTTTGAAAATGAATTAATTGAAAGAAAAATCATATTAGTACATGTGAAAGTATTAAGTTTTTTAAATTAAAAATAAAATTTAATGTCCGCCAGCACCGGCCCAAGCAAATCGTCCAATATTATCATCGTCCAATAACCCAGGAGGCCAATCACCTCCAACACCAATTCCTCCACCACCTACATTCCTACCTCCATCACCATCACCTCCCCCTCCTCTATTATCATTTTGACCCCATCGTAATTGACGTACATATACCAACCACCCAATTAAAAGACATATCACCAAAATCATTAAACTTTCCATTAAATCATCTTGCAATTCCTCCTCTTCATAAGCTTCTTCAGTCGTAGAGCTTAACGATTCCGTGAAATCTTCTTCGCCTTTCTTACGTGCATTATATTTTTTTAATAGTTGCTCTTCACTTGGTCCAAAATCCCACTCACGTCTTTCTTGTTTAGGAGGGCCACCACTGCTACCGCCACCAGTCCCATCTTTGGTTAATTGCCTTAAAGTGGTATCAGTATTCTTTTCGTCTGAAACTTTTCTTGATGCTATACTTTCCCACCATACCCCTTTAGATGCATTTTCAGGATTTACTTCATCCCCATCATCACCTCCAGTAATATAATTCCAGAAACTTCTCGAATACAATTTAATTAAAGATAATGTTACTGGAAGATAGGCTTCTGGATTCGTAGAGAGTGATTGATCATACCATCGTTTTGCTAGGTGAAAATCCTATTTAATAATAAAAATATAATGAGAGTCATTGGAAGAAATATGAGTAATTTTTAAAGAAAAACAGACTCACTCTAGATACACCAATTCCATTCTCATGCATCCAACCCAAGTTCCACATTGCCATAGAACTTGATTCGAATTCAGCTGCAACTTGATAACAAGCTGCAGCTTTTTCATAATCTACATCAGTGCCAAAGCCTTTGAAATAATAGTCTCCCATTTTAAGTCGAGAATCAACATTTCCCTGGTTTGCGGAACGTGTCCAGTATATCAAGGCAAGTCTCTCTCGATCAGGGTCAGGTTTGGGAGTCACATGAGGCAATTGCCACCTTGCTTTATCTGAATTAAAGACGTTATTACATGTAATATTCAACTTAATAATGTAAATAATAAGAAATATGCACCTCTATCGAGTAACCATGCGACATTTGCTTGCCCCACTTCATATCCTCGTTCAGCCGCAATCAAATAATTAAGTAAGGCACCATCTTTATCACCGGATTGATAAGCTTCGCGAGCAGCTTGGAAAGGAGAATGTAGCCAATCACCTTTTTCCGCGACTGTTTTATAATACTAGAGAGATATTCTATCAGTAAAAAGACATCAACTAAACAATATGCGTCATAAAAATTACCGCTGCAGCCAAAGGACACGATTTTTGAGTGCCTTCACCCCTTGCATGCATCTCTGCTAAATAATAATGTGCTAGGAAATGTGCAGACTGTGCGGCGAATTGAAAATATTGATAGGCTTTATCATAATCACGTTTGTTATCTAGTAAAACAGTAAGAATTTAGTAATTAGAATATATATAAATTGAAAATATAGATGAGATAAAGATATTAGCAAACCCACGCAAGTATAAAAGTCCTAAGTTGACTTGGGCATCAGGGTTTTTTGCTTCCGCTGCCATTTTAAAATAAACTTCAGCGTCTTTACGATTCTGCGAAGAAATATAAGATAAACTATCAAAGCCTTATATACAACATATTATATATATATATATATATACATGATTATTACCTTTGGCAACAATTCGCGGCCGTTTTTATCGGAAAGTCCATGTAGAAACATTAGACCTAACCCATTTTGAGCCACCGGATTTTTCTTTGTTGTATTAATTTTATTTACAATACATTTGATTAACAAGATGCTAATTGTAGCCAGAAATAATATATGTCAAAAAAATATCGCTCACCAGTATTGCACCTTTTCGAAACCACAATAACGCTGTTTCATTGTTTTGCAAAACACCCTCTGCACGCCAGTACATTTGCCCTAAAATGCCCGCAGCCGCGGCTGCTGCCTGTGCAGACGGAGAATTTAATGTCTGTTCATCGATTCTTGATATATCATTCGGCCAGTTATATTGAAGAGCGACAAGATTGAGATATTGTAATGCTTGATGAAAGTTTTGAGGTATATTTCGAGTGCCTTGATAAAAAAGTTGACCCAATACCAACTATCGGATTAAGGAGAAAAAATTTTCGTATTAAAAAGAGAATTTCAAAGAAAATATATTTTTATGAAATCAATCATATTCTTAATCTACCTGGGCACTTTGATCTCCATGTTCAGCCATATATCGATAATACTCCAATATGTCATCCCAAGCTGCAGAATCGCCTCTGCTAAGAGACGAAAGACCAGAAGCACCGTATCCGTATATTCCACCATCTTCTTCGTATAATCGAATTTTAGGTGGAGGAAGTTGACGTCCTCCCGGTGGGCCTGATTTATAATATTCAGCCGCTATTTTATAAATATTGTGTAGCATAAATATAAATAAATATTGATAGTTAAAAACGAAGCGAATATATTCTAATAAAATTTTAGTTTTACCTTTATCAGCAACTTGCTTATAGTGGTATATAGCATCTTCACAACTACGATGTACTCCAATACCCATTAGATAGCGATATGCAAGTGTCATTTGACCGGCAGTATCCCCGCCGTGCGCAGCAAATGTATGATAAATCAATGACTTTGAGAAGATATTTTAGAATTAGGATTTTCATAGAAACCATCTTCCAAACATCTAATTCGATAACTACCTGTGCTTGATCGCGTGGCACCTTTTCACCAATTCCCGTGGCGTACATGAATCCAACCATTTGTTGAGCAGTCGCATTACCGGATCTTGTTGCCAAAATTTTATAATAGTCAAAGGCAGTTGTCAGATTACGTCGATGAGAATATTTTGCGTGCTAAGCGATCAGTGATTATCGATATTAACACAAGTTATTAAATATAAGAAACATGAGAGATACAGTATAAAACATCAATAACTTACAAAATTGATATCAGCTAATGAATATAACGCATCATCATGTCCTAATTCTAAACCCGCTTTTTTCAACATTGCAATAGCGAGCTCCAATTTTTCATTCTTTGGCTCAATTTCATATTTCTTTGAGATCTCACCATTAAGCGGTTGTTGCGGGTTTTTCGATTTTGAAAACAATGACATAAAAATCTTTCCTAATAGACGTAACGAAAAAGGTAATACGCTCGCATCAACATCATCATTTTCGGTAATGGATTGCGAAGGTCTCAGCGAAATCGGTTTTAGATTACTGAGAATATCGAGTGCATATTGATACAATTCATCGGCTAAAGACGCAACGAATACGTTAGTCATTTTAAAACGACCAATTAATTAACAATGAAAATTAGAATGCCAACTAAAATCTACCTGAAAGATTCGTCAATAAATGTTGCTGTAAAGAGGGTTCCGATTGAATATTTTCGGTGAAAGGTGGTTCTGTTAACTGATTTTCAAACAATTTTTATTCAATGCTTTGTTAGATCATCGTAATTATTCCGGAAACAATTGTTTGTTTGAATCTCAATAATTGATGTTAAGTCTTCCAGGTGAAGAGTAGTGCACATGCTAACTAACTTTGCGACAGGGTTGAATAAGAAAGTAAATTTATCAAGCAACTGTAAAAGATTAGAATTACGATAACAAAAATTCAATTGCATACCTAAAAATTATTTGCTGCAATTCCTTAAGCGGAGGTGCAAGGTACCAAACAAACAACTGTTCAAGAGAAAAAAACATCACGACTGGACAAAACTCACCTCTTCCAATTCTTCACCCAATATTATATTAGGAGAGAAAAAAAGGAGTGTGCAAACTAAGAAGGATAGAGAAATCAATTCAAAACTTGAGTGTGACGCGCAAGTTAAGCAAAGTTAAATTAGTTACCAAGCCAAAAGCTAAAAAGTTTTCGTTTGGAGGGCATTATGATGTTTCAGAAGTAACATATCCTATGAGCGAGGTTTCGATTATAAAAACTCATTTGTCCGAGAAAAACACGTACTTCATTCAAAAATCTAATTATCCAATCATTTATATGCATTTTCGAGAAGATTCTCATAATATAACACTTGGAAATATTTGATTTGATCGATTAATTTTTTAGGCTAATGCTAGAATATAAGAATAGTTTTTCTACTAAAAAAAAAAAAAAAAAAAGCTAATAATCAATCTCTATAACAAAAAAGCAAGCTTCCCCCTCTTGAGTTCTACACACGAATCTCAACGGCTGATTATCAAGAACATGCGAAATACTAAAGCTGATAATCATATTTGCAGTCATTGTAGAAAGATCCGTGAAATTGTTAAAGAAATCAAACGCGTAGATATTTTCCGGATCGAAAACGTGAGCTTTACGAATTTCGGGGTCTGTAAAGTAGGTGCGTCGTTGCGCAGAAGAAAGCATTGGTTCGTGGTCGGGTAATATTAATTTTGTGTCTTCTTTTAAGTGATTCTTGCCGTAGTATGCCCAGGGTCCGACAGGCAGTAAAGGAGGGGATGAATCTTCTGATGAAAGAATATTCTCAGCTTTGTTATTATCGTCTTGTGATGACAGCTTCTCATCTTGTTCTGCGCGCCAAGCTCTTACGACATTCATTCCACACATGACCCAACTCCCAGCCCAAGGTCGAATTTGCTCAAAAATTCTTTCAGCTGTGAACCCTGGATCAATATACTGAGCAAATCTGACCGCTAAAGAAGAGCCCCTTGGCGGCTTAACAGCGTGTTCCGTTTCTGCACAAAAAAGCAAGTCATCAAAAGTCCAAAGATTATCTTGACGTTTCGTGTTAGTCGCTTTAAAACGACCTTGAATCTGAAATGAGAAAAATCGTCGATGATTTTCAAAATAATCACACGTTGTCAAATTTACTTTTCCATTGCTCTCATCATCATTTTTATTATAATTGTTAAGTCGAACAGTAATATATCCTGTAAAGTGAGAAGAGTTGACAAGTAAAGGATGTCGGTCGTCGTTTACATTATATTCTTGAAGACAGTCATATGTTGGTCCTATTTTGACAATTGTCATGACTCTTAATGAAAATAAAGAATTAGAAGGATGAAAAATAAATGTTTTTTACACTCTCAATTGAGTTATACAGAGTAATAATTATAGTAACGATAATATTTGCCAAGGGAAAGATATTATTAACGCAACGGAATAGAACCCGCTAATCCGTTTATTCAATGTTTATCAAGCGATAGACTAAATTTTATTACGTGATAGTGATGATGAAATATTTAAAAGATGATCTGCGCATGTGATAACAAAGAGGTTTTACGTTGATCTAAAACGTTTTATTTGAGTTTCAATTTGGGTTTCAATGAATGTCTGTTTTGCCTTTCTTGATTAACAAACAAATCATCACATGCTTTGACACAAAATGCTGAAGCGTCTTACTACTACACACATGATAATTTCTTGCTAAGAAGGAAAGGAAATAAAAGTAGGACGATTTTGACGAATACGTATCTTGGCGGCTTCGCTTGCTAAATGATTGTTATTAATAGGATGGTAAAAAAAAACAATAATGAAAACAAAGAGATCAAGATGCTCTTCTTGAATTTAAATATGTATGAGGGACTTGAATATATATATGAAAAAAATATCCAAGCACAATAAAAAAATCTAGATGGCAACAGACTTACAATAAAAAGTTTCTTTTTTCCAGAGATTGACCGTCCGCGTCGCAATCATATCAACCTCATCATAACTGAGCATTATTCGTGGTCGCTGATTCGCCACAATGATGGAAGAGATTTCATTCTCCAATCGACCAACATTTTGCTCTAATTTTGACGCAATGTTCTCCAAGGATTCAAGCCTTGCGTTGAATTGCGTAAGTTGTTCGCCGATTTGTGTGTTTATTTGGGCATAATTTTCGTCAACTTTTGCGTGGAGTTGAGCGAATTTTTCGTCAATTTCGAGTGTTAATTGAGATTGAAGTTCATTCATCGTGATTTGACTTTGTGTTAACAGATCTTCGAAGGAATCAAGTCGTTCTTTTGTTGAAATTTGATTTTTATTGAAATGCTCTGTAATTACACCATTCACACATCGTAATCATCATCATCATCATCACACATTAATTTGAATTGAAAATAAAAATAGAAAAAAAACCTTTTATCCTATTCTCCAATTGAATTGATTTTGCGATGGAAAGTCCCATTGCCATCATATGTGCAGGTTGTAATTGTTCGATTAAACGCCAATCCTCTGTCAACCCATTTTCGACAAATCTTGTCACGAGATCTTCCATATCGATATCAATCAGCCAACGAGTTATTTCAGTGTCGACTAATTAATTACCATTCAGAAAATCACGATTAGTGTTATGATGATAGAGATGATGATTTATGCTAATTATATTTATTTGATATAAAAAAATTCAGTGATTAAACAAATTATAAAAAAAATACACGTCAAATTTTTTCTAAATATGAACATGCCTTCGTCAGGAGATGGAGACTCGTGTCGAGCTCTTTTCTTCCCTGAAACCTTAGTAGCGCTACCTCGTAGACTAGGATTAGGTGTAAGTATAGGCGGCTGTTGTTGTTGTGGCAGCAGTGATGTTGGTGATAATAGTGGTGGTGTTTGCGCAATTGGTGTAGCTACAGTGCTCGAGTTGGAATCACTACTTTCTTGATATTCACCAATATAATCAACTGCATAAGGTTTCAGCGATTCTATAATTGTTTCATTCTTATAAAGATAAAAGAATAAGATAATACCATATAAATTTTTGATGCTTGATTATCGTACGTAATTCTATGTCTTTTACAATACTTACAGGTTCATTTCCTACACCTAAATTATGCACCTTTATTAACACATCTATAATTATTAATATTATATAGAGAAAAAAACTTCCATGCAACAAATGCCATTACCCTACTAAGCCTACGAAGTTCGTTCCGCTTCATGCTTTCTAGCTCTTTAAGCGCAAATTTACGTTCTTCGTCTGACATTCTGTAAGACTCAAAAATTTGAATCATTCACTCGAATTCATTTTTTTATTTATGATGCTTGTCACGTGTGCGCCACTTAACTAACATCAGAAATTGGCATCTCATGATTTTTTATGAAATAAAAAATCGAGATCTTGGAATGATATCGATATAGCATCTTACTTTAGGTTAACAAAACTCTCTGGATCTTCCTAATTAAAAGATGTCTTTGGTAACTGCTTCTCGAACATTTCTTTCAAGTTTTGCTGGAGTCAAGCATAATGCTCTTCTGGTAAGCTCAGCATAGTTCTGTAAGAAGTAATGCACTCGAGGCCTTATCTGTTTCCGACTACTGTATGCTTAGTCTACAACATACTTGGCTCGCACCTTAAAAACCTCGGCATCAGCTCAAATGGCGGCGGAGGTAGGTAAGTAACCATCGAAACTTTCTTGCCAACTTTTTTGTCAACATTGTTCCTTACACTGAAATTCTTCGATGTCGAATAGCACCCTCTTTGACCCGCGAACCTCGTAAGAATTTCACTACACGCTATACCATAGCTTGGAGTGTCCAGCTTACTGCATTTCTGCAGCAGTGATTTGCTGCTGCATTTCTCCGCAGTAATTTACTGCAAATTCTGCAACCCGAAAAACGTCTAGATCATGACGATGATCAAATTTAAAAATTCGGTAACTTTGGAACGCGATATCTCGATGTTCCGCGGTCCAATTGAGGCAAAAATAGAACCATTCGATTCGTCTGGATTAGATAAATCGAATAATCCTATTTTTGCCGAAATTGAAATGTGGAACGTCGAGATATCGCGTCCCAAAGTTACCGAATTTTTAATTTTTTAAATTTGATCATCTGGATTTTTTTTAAATTTAATTTTTCGATAGATTCTTTTGATAATGCGTGCCATTTATCATTCAATCATGCACATAATTTCTTAGAAAATTTCGTATAGATCATTCTTATAATGTAAATCACATTATCATAAAACATATGGATTCTGCAGATCTGCAAATTACATCAGAATTACAGGATTTGCAGTAAACTGGACGCACTATCATAGCTTAAAAAATTTTCACTAATTTTCTTATTCATATCTAGCCAAGAAAAGGGCTCCTTTTAACAAGACATTTGCGATTTATCGTTGGGTGAGTCCCTTTCTCTTTTTAAAGTCATTTCTTTTGATTAACGTTGACTACATTACATAATAAATTGACAATAACAACCACCATTAAAATGTATAAGAACCCCGATGAACCGATCACTAAACCTCATTTACAAAATTATGAAATTGATCTAAATACATGTGGTCCGATGGTCTTGGATGCGCTCATTAAGATCAAAAATGAACTGGACCCTACGTTGACATTCCGTCGCTCATGTCGTGAAGGAATTTGTGGATCCTGCGCTATGAATATTGATGGTGTGAATACTTTGGCGTGTTTATGTAAGATTGATCGTAATGCGTCAAAGAGCAAAATTTATCCTTTGCCTCATAGTAAGCATTCTGCGAATCGAGTAAATTATAAATCTTCAAACGATTAACATATACGAGGATATGATTATTAATTATACTCATGCTGATGGTGTTTCTAGTGTATATCGTCAAAGATATAGTTCCAGATCTGACACATTTCTACAAACAATACAAATCGATTGAACCGTACCTCAAAAAAAAGACCGAACTCAAAGAAGGTGAACGTGAAAACTTGCAAAGCATCGCGGATCGTAAGAAATTAGATGGTCTTTACGAATGCATCTTATGTGCCTGTTGCTCTACTTCGTGCCCAAGTTATTGGTGGAACTCCGATGAATACCTTGGTCCGGCTGTGTTGATGCAGGCTTACAGATGGATGGCTGATACCAGAGACGATTTTGCTCACGAGAGACGTGAAGCTTTGCAGAATCCTTTCTCGGTCTATCGATGCCACACTATCATGAATTGCACGCGTACTTGTCCCAAGGGCTTGAATCCTGGAAGAGCGATCGCACAGATTAAGAAAGATATGGCATTGGATTAATATCAAATTATGAAATAATTACAGCCTTGATCATCATTATCAATTTTATAAAGCTGAATTATCTAGCGAAAGCAAGGATATCGGCAGTCTATTAAAAGAATACATTGTTGATCGATTTCTTACTTTTTTGTTCGTTTGCTATTTAATTCTGCAAACGCTCAAAGTTCATCTGTATGAGTATTTATTATCGTTTAGATAACGTCTTTGTTTCGTGGGTTGGATTTTAGAGACATTTTTATTTGGCAATAAAAATAGCGATATTATTAGCTTTTCGACATGCGATTATGAAATTGTACTAGTATACTAATACATTAATATATACTTTATCGTCTAGAATCTATTTACACTATACAATTATAAGAATAAAAAACTATAAACATAAATTACAGAGAAAATTTTTTTACCGAGACCGATTTAACTTAGTAATCAAACTTTTGTCGTATCAAAGTATTCACCAAACTCCCGAATAAACTTATCAGCATCCTTCGAATATTTATTTTGCGTCAATTTTAAATATATTTGTGACAAAAATTCACCAATTGGACCTATTGTATGCCTATCACGCATATCTTTTAACAACCTCATAGCCGCTTCCGGAGAATGCACCGCACATTCATAGTCTATTAAAGCCTGAATAGTTGTAACGTTCGGGATATATTGATACTCTGTCTTATTGACAATATCATAATATCTTCTCATGTTTTTCACATCACCCCATAATTGCGAACCAGCTATCAGTAAATGAAAAGTATCCAAACTCGACTTAGCACTATACTGCGGCATATGCTTGTCGAATATTTCGTGCATCTGCGCCAGGTGACCAAGTTTACCGTACCCGTAGATCAGCATATTGAAGGTCTCCACCGATGGGAAGATTTTGTTCCGTGGCATTAGCTCGTATAAACACTCGTTCAGTCGCTTCAGGTTGCCGAGTTTTGCGTAGCCTTTAATCAGAGAATTTAATGTTTCGCGCGCGGGGCAATCTTTAAAGATGTTCAGTGCGTCCGTCTCATTCCCTTTCTCGAATGCATGATCTATTAACGATTTAATGATATCTCGATGTGGTGCGAACTCGATGTGCTTTTCTTTTTTCAGCATCTTATAATATTTATACGTGGCATCTAAGTCATTCCATTCATGTGCCCATTTTATGAGTTGTTTGTATGTCTCATCCCTCGGAAAAATGCCATACCGTGGCATTAATTCCACTAAAACTGAATTCATTCTTGTTAAATCTCCTGCTCTTCCATAAGCGTGAATTAACGAATCCATAATATTATTGGTCGGTATCAATGGTATTTGTTTATTTGATTTAATTAATAGTTTACGTTTTAACAAAGGTGAAAAGTCCGGTGATAACACTTCTTTTGCGTCAATGTTTTTTAATTCCTCGTCATCTCGGTCGATGCTATCAATTGATAATTGCTCGGTAAATGCTTTGTCAAAGATATATCTCACATTTTCAACGTCCCCCGTAACCGCGAACATTTTCATCAAGATCGAATAGGTGACTCGATTTGGATGCACACCGGAATCGAGTAAATGTCTGAAACTTTTAAGCACATGCTGCTTGATCTCTTCAGGTGTTACGCGTGGTGGATGATTATTCGGATAAAATGATCTAAACGGATTCGGATTTTCTTCATCAAATAGCCGTTTGTAGTAATGCGTAACATGACTTTTCATATAACAATTATACGCAAACGTGGTCGGTTTGATTTTATACTGGATAATATGCTCCCAAACATGATCACAAAGTCGGTAATCTCCCATGGCGCTCAACACTTTTAACATGTGCGTCAAGTCCAAACTGTTTAGCTTAACTTTGCAATTCAACATCCTCCTATAAGCAACAAACAGTTTTTCTCGGCAATAATCTTTTTGTTGACCTAACTGGGGAGTTCTTTCGAGCGGCGCTTCAATACTTTTCAGTACGAGCGAGTGATGCTCGGGAAATAAGATGTATAACTGCATTTTCTTTGATAAATTGTTGTATTCTTCCCAGGCGCGTTCATGGTCTCCTCGTGCTAGTGAGTTTAAAAGCGATAAGGCTTTTCTGTTAACTACGAAGTTTCGGGAATTTTTCACGGCTGGGGTTGGTCGCGAGTAAATTGACTTTTTTTGGAGTCGAATGGAACCTGAATAGTAGTAGTTTGAAATTTTTTTTCGAGTTTCGAAATGTCTGACGCCTATCCGCGCAGATAAAATGGAATAATTAGATAATAATGGCATATTACTCAAAATACAACAAAACAATCTTCCACTATATCTGATTGGCGGTCCTTAAAAATTTTATTCTCCGTCACACGATGGAATCTACTCAATCCTCTTTTGAACATTTACTCTCACCGAATTTTCAAGACACCATTAAAGCATGGTTAAAAGAGGATATTCCCTCCTTCGACTATGGAGGCTATGTTGTTGGTGATGACGTTAAAAGTGCTTCTCTGTTAGGCAAAACACCCGTGAGTTAATTGTTGTAAATTCACCTTGCAGCAACTTTTTAACCTACGTGCTCTCTCTAGGGTGTACTAGCCGGTGTTCCATTCTTCAATGAAGTGTTTCGTCAATTAAATTGCAGGTTTGCCTAATAAAAGTTGTGTGAGTACCTAAACAACAATAAGGAATAACTTTTGACTTTAAACTTTCAAATACGCGAAAAATTACGCGTCGATTTACGCGTCCTCGCTTTATTGAAATGAATCATTGTTTGATAGGGTCGATTGGTTTCTCAAAGAAGGAGAGTTTTTTCAACCAGTCAAGGAAATTGCACGTGTTCACGGAGCGGCACGTAATATTTTATTGGGAGAACGTACGGCATTGAATATTATTGCACGCTGTAGTGGCATTGCTACAAAGTATTTTTCCTTTAATGAATTGTTTTTTCGAATTGATGTTATGTGTTATTCTAAGACGTAAAAATATATATTTTTAGAGCCAAAAAGTGTAAAGATCTAAAAATAGAGCATGGATATCATGGTATTATTGCTGGGACAAGAAAAACTACGCCTGGTAAATTAAATTCACCACATTAAATTATTGACTTTTATTTTCAACATAATTAACGATATTTGTCGTGCATGAACAAAAAATAAAACTGTCAAAAGGATTTCGCTTGGTGGAAAAGTATGGAATGTTAATTGGTGGAGTAGACACACACCGCATCGATCTGTCCACGATGATAATGTTAAAAGATAATCATATTTGGAGTCAAGGTAAAAATCCATGTTGCTCGATCTCCCGATCCTTTTCTTTTTTTATCATTTATTATTTTTATAGGCTCGATCACACAAGCAGTGAACCGAGCGCGAGCAGTCGGCGGATTCTCCTTAAAAATAGAAGTTGAATGCCGCACAGAAGCCGAAGCAGACGAAGCTATTCTAGCTGGTGCCGATGTCGTAATGCTTGATAATATGCACGGTGATAAATTGAAAAACGTGGCGAAATCTTTAAAATCGCGATGGTCAAATTATAAATTCTTGTTGGAGTCTAGTGGTGGGATTACCGAAGACAATATTGTGGAATATTTTTCACCGGGTATTTGTTATTTTTTTCTTTCGTTATTCGATGATAATGATGCATGACATCTATAAACAAATAAATTGCGTGTTTTAAAATTCTATGACTTCTTAATTAGAAGTAAATTCAAAATTTAGTCCGTGGTTATAAAGCCTTTTTTTTAATTTTGATTAAAGCTATAGAATTTTAAAGCATAAAATTTAGTTTGATTATAGATGTAATAAACCTGAATGAACTTCTTATTTAATACGGTTGATTTTAAAAGATATAGATATTTTGAGTATGGGCAATTTGTCGCAGAGCGTGGCGCATATTGATTATTCTCTTAAGATCCAAAAAAAGGAATAGAAAATATATAGACGACCTACCATATCATCAATTCCATTTGCAAAGCAGAAAATATTTATATCTCTCATTTACAAAAATCTCCTTCAAATAAAATTGATGAAGATGCGAGACAAAGCGAAATAAAGTTCACGAAAAAAGTTATTGCATAGGTCAAAGGTCCAGGTATAGCAAAATAAGGTTGAAAGTATATCTCGCGTCCCATGATTTCATGTACCTTGTCTAGGATATGAATTTATATTGTTTAAAATACAGCAAATATAAAATTCTGTTCATGGAAAAACTTTTGGTTAAATCTCTGCAAAAATTTCTTAAATTATAATCATAATCATTTTTATCATATTTATCTTTTTGATGAAATTTTTGTGACGCGGTATGCAATAAAATCTGGATCTTATACATAATATATGCAAAAGGTTTTCATTGTACTATTACCGTTTTAAGATTATGTGTATGTAATTATTTTAGGATACTCTATTTAAGTATGGTATATTTGAGCATGGTAGTATAGTATAGTTAATTATGTTAACATTAAAATACAAAAAACCATATCATACCTACAAAACTAGTATATATATATATATGTATATATGTTAATATTGTATGTCCTAAACTAATATACTTTTAACTCAAGTCAAATTTCTTTTGGTTTAGTTAAATAGGCAAGTGTATTTTACTAAAAACCCTTTCATTTTGATCACATGATATCTCTATTAGTCACGCTACATTTTGGTATGAAATTCAAATTTTTACTATTCTTAGTATATTCTACCTACCAAAGTAAAAAGAGATTTTCTGATCAAAGAAATTTTTGATCCAAATAAGATGAAGAGATACATGTAGCTTGTTACTTAAACTAAATTCAATTACATCTTTACTCACGCATTCTTGACTTTTTAAAATAGAAAAAAGTGAAGTTTTTTTTGATGGTATACAAGTGACTGATTTTATTGATCTGAAAACTTTTAAATACGTAAATAAATTAAATAATTTGATGTAAAGCAAGAAAAATAAACCTTTCTAATAATTTTATTAATCTAGGTACTTGGTTCAGATGAAGAAAAAAATTTTGATTTTTATCAGTTTACGTGGAATCTAAAAGTAAAAAACATCATATATTCAGCATTACCTGTAGAATACCCTCCAACAACAGATAATAGTGTGGCTATTGTATTTAATTTGGAATAAATATCAAGTGACCATGCTATCTTGCATACCAAAGCAACTGAATTTTTTCATGATATAAGATTTATTATAAAAAATCTTTATTTCTTATAAGATTACTGATTATTTTTTGTGTGTATATAGATTCAATATTCTATTGGTAGTCCAGGTGGACAAAACAATTCCTGCAGTCCATATTTTAATAATATTGAAATAAAAAAAATGAAAGAACATGTCAAGGTGTTATAGTTTGTGAATAAACTGATCTGAGACTATGTAATAGTTATCATAATAATGTCAATTTTGATTCTGACAAATTCAAATGACTAAAAAACAATAAATGCTTAATTGATCGTAAAACAAATATATATATATAAGTTATTTGTATGTAATTCATTTTTATATTGATAGGTTTAATAACTTATTACCTTTAGAGAATATCTCGCTGTGATAAAGATTAAATATAAGTATCAAAATAATAACAATACATGTAATGGTCTTCCCATCCTGAAATGACTTTGAGTTTATTCAAATCTATAAGACTATACCCCAACCGTGGAAAATAGTCCAGTTCAACAACTTGCACAATCAATATCAAATGGAGGGAGATATTTTGTAGGATGTGATAATTGGTAGCTTGATAAAAAAAGACATCGGTTTAGATCATTGAATGAAAATGTGGATATTGACCTATTTGAGCAGTTTTTAGAAGAAAAGATTAGTATACATTTTGTATAATCAAATTGCATTTGAATAAGAATTTAATTATCTAATTTTCTCTGTAGGATTTTACTCTAACAAACAGAACTAATTATTGTCAAACAGTTTTATCTCGAAATACTGGTCTCAAAACTTGTAGTTAGTATTTATTATTGGTTTATTATATTTATTATAATATAAGCATCTGTAAAAATTTGTTTAATTTAGGACATGTTCATATTGATACAAATGGTTAATCCTATCAACCATCTTTGATTTATCAAATATGTAATGTCAAATTTTATCAATTAACACTAAAGATAGCTCCTCAACTAATTGCAGCTTGCAGCAGCCAATTAGAGAATTGCGACAGAGTTGTGACAGCCAATCAGAGAATTGTGACAGAGTTGCAGCTAGTTGTGACTCTCATCTCTAATTAACACCCTATGACTTGCAAGCATATCCTTTCATGACCTTAATATCAGTTGAAACTCATACATATCCCCCACCACCACCTATTAATATTTCTTACGCCATATAAGAGAGACTAGTTAAACTGATTAAAACAGCACATGAAGATATAGCTGATGTTACTCCGTGAAAAATACTTTCTGGTAAATTAATATTCAATGAAAGAAATTTATTTGATACACATGAATATTGTAGGCTTACTTTATTGTATTATAGGAAACTTAATCAAAGGATTTTTCAGAGTTAATCTATTAAGTAAAATACACGTATCACTAAATAATATTGATAAATTGTGCTATCTGATATCGAAAGTACACAAAGAGGTACATCCTTATGGACAGAGTATAATGAGACTAACACATGCACTTACAGTCAACACAAATAATATAAATAGATATGTTAGAAAAATGAGTAAGTTTTATTTTGTGCTTAACTTCCCAATTTGATTTTGAGCCTACAATATATCTATTTTGGCAAATAAATATATTTAGAGATGGTCATATACTCGTTATTTGTATGGCAAAAGAACAAGTAGAGAGGTTATTAAAGATGACTTATTTTCAAGTAGATCTCACGTTTAAGCGCGTTCAAGGAGAGATAAATAAATTTGAGATTAATCAATATAATAAGGAATACCACATTTGTATGATTAATTAAGAGCAATAAAATCATTTTATTTCTTGACTTCTGTCATCGATGTGAAAGATATTCAAAATTTACCCTTCTTTCCTAACATCACCTACTCTTTTCTCAATATCTATACAGCATTAACATACTGTCACATGTTTATCAATGTCTCTACTTCAGAAACATATCAATGAATTTTTCAGACTATTATTAAAATAGTTGAAAATTATATTGGATCACAAGTAAAAATTCATCATATTCATGAGAGTGGTTGGGCATGTATAATAGATGATTTGGATTTTATGCAAGCTCAAGGATTAGAAATGACATTGCATGAAATTGATAATAGTAAGATGTGGAAAGATTATTTGATTTGCATTTTCAAGTCTTGTCAAGTCTATTATAGAGCGTAAGTATCATGCCTGATCACACTTTTGCAATTTGATTAGTTGTTGATTCATTTTTCTAATTACATTATTTCTAGTAATATCCAGCATCACCATTATTCAGATAATCTGAAAAACCTAATGAATTATTTGTTAATAGTACCTACAGAAGAAGAAGTCAACACTAGAGATAGGAGCCGCAACTAGCTGCAACTCTGTCACAATTCTCTGATTGACTGTCGCAACTTTGTTACAATTCTCTGATTGGCTACCGCAAGCCGCAATTAATTGAGAAGTCATCTTTAGTTAACATGATACTTGATAAGATAATGAAGATTGGAGATGCAGATCTAGAAGGTAAGCTGAATTTTTATTGCATTATTTTTATTAATAATAACTAACTACTTTTGTTTATATAGGATGGGTTAATTTTTATTCTAACTGTTAGGTGAAGACTTCATTAAACTTCACGTGTTTGCGTATTCCTGAAATTTATTGGATTTCTTCAGGAGATACAACAAATGTTGCCAAGAGATGTCATTCTGATACCAATTAAGAAGGGAAATATTTAAAATTCTTGACAGCAATATTCAGGTATAGTATCTCATTCTTTTGCTATCACCTACTTCATGCTAACAATTTTCTAATTGGTTTATTATTTGTAGAGGCCAGCATTTAGATAATCACCATTTTGCAGCTATAACAACACATGATTTTTTTGGTATATCAAATGGAACATAAAGAAAAAGTAAAGTTGACTGTGTTGCTCATGCACATAGAAAAAGCAATATGTTTCTTATATTATTATTTATTTACTACAATCATCCCTCCAATAGTATGCTACCTTTATTTCTTCATTATCACAATACCTTTTTCTACAATTACCACTACCGATCTAACCACCTTCACACTAGTGTTTTCATAATCCTGCATACTTTACCTCTTCCATCATCTTCATATTCTATCACTCTCACCATCTTCACACTCTACCATCACTATACTTCTCCTTATTCTCTACCACTTCACAATAAATTGTATTTAGTCAAATTTTGGTTTTGATATTTTTTATAGTAAATAAACAAGCAATATCACATATGCCCAAGACATCAAGCATCCCTACAGCATCAAAATAACAAGCTCTAATTAGTTCTATAAGATAAAAAAAATTATGAACTGCTTCATTCTTACTGCAAGAGAATGATGATATGAAGCTAGCAAAACTTGAAAAACAGTTATGCATATAGCGTATAAAAATCGTGATTAGAAAGAAAGCCATGGAGATTCACCAACTTGAATTAAATAATATGGAGCATGCTAGAGAATTAGGTACTGATGAGTTAGAGAAGGGTTTTGAAGATCTTAATAATATTAGAAATATAGTTATCTTTGAGAATCTTGGTAAGGAGGAATTTTTATCTTAATCAAAAAATTAAGTAAATATTGTATTTAGTTTTGAGA